CAGCACCACGGGAAGAGGCCTCCTCTGGGCCTCAGGTTCCTGCGATGGGAAAAGAGCCCAGGTGACAAGCAGTGCCCCAGCATCGCAGGTAGCTCCGCGGGGACCCTTCCCCTGGTCTCGCTCCACCGGGTTTGCAGGGGAATCTGAGTGGGACAGAGAACGGGGAGGGGCTTGCAACAATTCTCGCAGGGGCCTGGCGGGCAGAGCTCCCGAAGGCAGTGCCCAAGCCGTGACCTCAACCACGAGTTTTGCTCACCTGCAAAACCAACGAACTTGGCAGGGTGCACGTCTGCCGCACTCGGGTCCTCATACGACCAGGCGTTCTGCCTGCCTTAGAGTCTAGTGGGCCCAGGCCCCAGCCAGGTGCGCAGTCACAGCCGCACATGCGGCGTGGAGAGTCTCGGGACGCACTGACCAGGGAGCCTGGTGGGAACAGCTTGAAGCCTGAGCGCCTGAGCTCAGGGGGCTGCTCGCCCGGGCCCTGCGGGGCAGAGCTGGTACCGCAGTTGGCAGGCGGGGTTCCCCGCTCCTCCCAGACCCCGGATTAATTCACAGCCAGGGCTGACGGTAGCTGCCCGCTTCTCCCCCACTGGAAAGCCTGTTTGAAACAGTGGGTGCTTCCAGGAGTGGCCCCACCCCGTCACACCAAGACCTGGGAGCTGAAACAGAGCCCCACCCTTCATGGGTCCCAGGCCCATCTAACCTGAGGGTCTAGTGAGAACACCTGGAGGCTGTGTAATCAAAATAGAGATTAAGTTGTTACAGAAAAATAAAGGAATATTTCTTGCCCAATTATGTTGGTGTGGACATTTGCACCTGTCACGCGTCCATCTTACAAATTAATTTTACTAATTGAGATTACCAAGTATTCCATCTCAAAGAGGACCAGCAGGATTTTTATCACGGTGAAAAAACTCATTGCAAGCTTAACGTATTGGGAGTTAAAATAAGTTAGGCTGGGAGGAGGTGGCAGGGGAAATTAAAAAAAAAAGATAAGTTGCAATGGAGGAAGCAATGAACGTGAATGTGGTTAGACCGCCACTGTCGTCCTCCACTAGGTGAAGAGTCTCTGAAAAGTGAAAAACAGCTGAATATCTAAGCCTTGCTGGCTAAAGTAAAAATCTTACCATATATTTAAATAAGTATTAAAGTATAAAATGCTATTGTGCTTTAGTAACACTTCAATTTTACCCAGGAAGGGTAAAACACTTCCAAAGTTTTCAGTATCCTTATGACTACGCCCTCAATAGTAAATTACTGTATTAAGCAAGAAAGCAAACGTGCTAAGTGTGCCACCTTTATGGACCTGGATGAAAACTATGTTATCATTAATTTTTTAAAAATCACTGTGGATTGCATTAGGAAAAGTTCTGTAAAATTACTCCATTGGAAAGAACAACCTAACCATCTGTATTAAGAATATCTTAAATGTCTTTTCATTGTATTTATTTGAAAACAAGATAAGATAAAGAAGATAAACTTATTTATCAAAAACAAGCCTTTCGGGCACTTGGGCAGCTCAGTGGATTAAGCCTCTGCCTTCGGCTCAGATTGTGATCCCAGAGTCCTGGGATCAAGGCCCGCATAGGGCTCTCTGCTCAGCAGGGAGGCTGCTTCCCTTCCCCTCTCTCTGCCTGCCTCTCTGCCTACTTGTGATCTCTGTCAAATAAATAAATAAAATCTTAAAAAAAAAAAACAAGCCTTACGAACAAGCATTTTAAATCTTTAACATTGGATTAATGCAGTAATGGAATGAACCTGTGAAATTTTGAAGGCAGAAAAGGTCTAATTTAGTTTAAAATAAAATATGAAGCACCTTAGTGAAATTTATTTTGCTCAGTGTGGTTGTGAAGAAACCATGTGTAAAAAATAAATAAATAAAAATAAAGAAGTTGTGTATATATTTTTTATAATTCAAACCATGGGAATCATTTTAATACACTTCCTTAAAAAATGGATATTATAAACTGTGCTAGCCAATACAGCAGCCACGATTCACATATGATTATTTAAATTATTAATTAGCTAAAATGAGGTAAAATTTAAAATTGGGTTCCTCTAATTTTTTAAAGATTTTATTTATTTATTTGACAGAGAGTGAGAGAGCACAAGCAACGGGGGTGAGCAGCAGAGGGAGAGAGAGAAGCAGGCTCCCTGCTGAGCAGGGAGTCCAACGCGGCGCTCCGTCCCAGGACCCTGGGATTATGACCCAAGCTGAAGGCAAACCCTTAACTGACCGACACACCCAGGCAGACACATAACCAACTGAGCACTCCAGGCACCCTCCAAGTGTGGCTCTCAAGCACTTGAGATGCGGTGATTAGAGGAAGTAAATTTAGGTGCGCCTGGGTGGTCCAGTCGGTTATAAGCATCTGCCCCGGCGGCTCAGTCAGTTAAGTGTCTGCCTTTGACTTGGTTACTGATCCCAGGATCCCGAGATGGAGCCCCACCTTGGGCTCCCTGCTCTGCGGGGAGCCTAGTTCTCCCTCCCCCTCTGCCACTCCCTCTGCCTGTGCACTGTACACATGCACATGCTCTCTCTCTCTCTCTCTCTCATAAATAAATAAATAAGATCTTAAAAAAAAGCCCACATGTGGCTAGCAACTACCATGCTGGGCAGCATAAATTTATCGAGCATTACCAATATAATGGTACTGGACAGCAGTGGTCTAACAAATTATATAAGCAGCCATCATAATAAAGTGAACCATGTAAATCCTGAAAAATTTTTGTAAATATAAAGTTTTTGCTTTTGTAATTTTGTTTCTAATCCAGGGACTATTTCAGATAGCACAAAATACAAATCAAATTTGAAATCTGCATATATAGTTTAAAATTTAATCTTGCCTAGAATGTAATTTTACTTTTCTATATTAGCTGTATTACCAATAGTGTGTTAAATTATTTGTAAAACTGAATGGTGAAGACAAAGACTAGCTTAGATGAATTAATCTAAATAACTCTGGTCAAAACTCTTTTGCAGTCTATGGAAGATTTTTTGGCTTGAATTATTTATTTTTTAAGACCACTGTAGGCTGCCTGGGTGGCTCAGTGGGTTAAGCCTCTGCCTTCGGCTCAGGTCATGGCTCAGGGTCCTGGGATCTAGCCCCAAATCGGGCTCTCTGCAGGCAACCTGCTTCTCTGTCTCTCTCTGCCTGCCTCTCTGCCTACTTGTGATTTTTCTGTCAAATAAATAAATAAATAAATAAATCTTTAAAAAAAAAGAACACTGTAGGCATGGCCTAAACATAGAAAGATATGTGTAGAAATACTATAATTTTATTAACGTAAAGGCAACTAAAAACAAATTATTTATTTGGAGAACAGGGTCATAAAAATCGTACCTTACATTTTAGTCTTCCTAAAATTAGTTACACTATATTTCACTAACATACTCTAAAAACTGAATTTAATTTTCAAAAAATATATCATTTGAGAAATTGTATCTATTCTACACATGGACCATATAAGGCCATCCTAAACTACTTTATGAGTCATAAAAATAACAAGACTTGTCAACTTTCACACAAATTACTTGGACCAACTTATTACTTTTTATTGAATTTCTTCTTTGCCTTATCAAAAGACAAAGTTAATTAATGTCCACTAGACAAGAAAATCCATGGGTCATAAGCAAATGTGCATAACTAAAGACTGAACTCTCACAAGGAAAAAAACTGTTTTTTTGAACAATACCTAAGAATGCAATAAAAGCGAATATAACTGAGAATTGTTCCATACTAAAAGTTGAGATGACATTATCACTAACAAACATTTCTCTTTTCTCTGACAAAATGTTTCTTAAACACAAAACAATGAAATTATACAGTATTTTCTATAGCTAAAACATTCAAGAACTTTAAAGTGCTTAAGCTAAACATAAAATCCTACTCATAAGCAAAATGGAATTATTTTTTTCATTTGCCAATATTCCTGCCAATATCCTTCAAGATCACTTTTTTCTAATTGAATTTCTGATCAATATTTTCATTTAAATATGTAAGATTCAAATTTGTATGCACTTCAACTACTAGAATCAATCAGAAAAACACAGTAAATATATTAAACCTTTACCCAGACATTTCAGAAACAATAACAAAAAAAAAATCAGTGTCTGAACCTGGTCAGATTCTTTTTATTCATAGTGATATATTCTTAAATTTGAACTACTTCAATAGAAACAAAAAGCCTCCTGACATGATTTTCTGTGATGACTTTTAGAAAACTGTTGTGATAAAATATTATCAGGAGGTAAATAAAATAATAAAAATATCAGGAGGTAAATAAAAGGATGGTGTTCTTACCAGAAGTAAATCAAAAAACCATAGGTCTCATGCCTGGAAAGTCTGGGTCAAACAAAAGTATGTCAATCCTACGAATGCCCTGCTCGTGGATATACAAGAAAGCCAATGCGTGTCTTGGTTATGTGTAAACCGTGCCTCCCTTCTGAAGCAGTGGAGCTTAGACCTCAGATCTGCAGTGATGGTCCACTTGACAAATACTGAATGTCCAGTACCTACAAATTCCCACACCCGGCGTCATGGTTTGCCTATCCAACCAACTACGTCTCTCTACCTCACTACCTATGCGTGTCCCTGATGCTCAGATCACACCTATCGGTAAGAGCTAAGCATGCTATTCTCATTCGACCTTGAAACAGCAATGAAAACGACCTTTAGGAGTTTACTACCATTCCCTTAATCAGAGGTTCTTAGCAGAGTACTGCCCATCACTTCGTTCACAAGATGAAACATTATACATCTTCCGAATGCAATTTTGTCTGCTATGTGGGCAGAGAAAGAACATCAGATATTTCCTCAGTTGTGAATGCAGAACTCCCGCTACCACAAGCTAATTTTGGAATGACAACTTGAGAAACTTACAGGATGATACAACAGTGTTTAAAAAAAAAAAAAAGAATGTAGGGTGGCTGGCATTCAAGTAGTTGAGTCAGTTATCTCTTGGCTCTGGCTCTGCTGGAGGAGTTGTTGCGGAAGCCACTACGGTTTGGATGTAGACTTCTTGAGGTCATAGCGAAGACTACGGATGGAGCTATTGATAGCTGTCACGCACAACTTCCAGTCGTATCCGGTTTCCGAGAGACTGCAAGTCGGGTAGATGTCTTGAAGAAATTCTGGTGGTAAAACCCGAAAACATAAGTTACTTAGAAAGCACTTCTCAGACAAATGAATTTATTCAACCTCTGTTCTATTGTGGTGACTACAAAACGGTCATTAAAACTTTAATTAAAACTCATGGAGTATAACTATTATTAAATGAGCTGAACAAATCTTTTCATCTAAAAGGATAATAGGGAAAAGCACCATTCTTAAATCACAGTAAAGTAACAATATCCCATGACCTTGCCACGTAACCAGAATGGAAGTCCTCTCCGGCCTTCAGTACCCGACGTAAACTTTTCTTATTCTTGAATTTATCAAACGTGCATGTTATTCATTGTATCAAGACCTGCTAAGGCTTTGTAACACACAAGAGGCTGCAATGTCTTTTATACTTTGAGAGGCAAGAAGCCGTAACTGCTAAATATTTTGGTACTGCTTGATTTATCTCCCACGAGAAAGAAGGAGTCTCTCCAACTTGCAGTTAGAGGAAAATGTCTATAAGGGAAGGCTACAGAGCAACATGGCTCAACGCTTAGAGAAAGTGGGTGGACAGACAAAGGGAAAGGTAGAGAAGAGAGATGGGTTTTTTTAAAAGATTTTATTTATTTAATTGACAGACAGAGGTCACAAGTAGGCAGAGAGGCAGGCAGGAGAAGAGAGATGTTTTTAACCAGAGAGCAGAACTGTCCTCAGATATTTTTTTAGGTAACTTCCAAAGTGCCTTTGAGGCCTTAGGAAAGGATCTGTTGAGCACTACAGGCCGGCATTAGCTGACTACATTAATTTCACTTGTTTTTCTTTTTTTAATATAATTTTTTATTAACATACAATCTGTTATTAGCCCCAGGGGTACAGGTCTGTGAATTGCCAGGTTTACACACTTCACAGCTCTCACCATAGCACATACCCTCCCCAATGTCCATATCCACACCCCCCTCTCCCTAACCGCCTTCCCCCAGCAACCCTCAGTTTGTTTTGTGAGATTAAGAGGCTCTTATGGTTTGTCTCCCTCCGGATCCCATCTTGTTTCATTTACTCTTTTCCTACCCCCAAACCCCCCACGTTGCCTCTCAACTTCCTCATATCAGGGATCACTTGTTTTTCAATAAGATTAAAAAGTTGGGAAATCAGGAGAATGTCATGAACACAGCATAGATCCAAAATTTTTAGCAAGGCAGGTGACAGTTAAAAAGCTTTTATACTCAAAGGACTACTTACTACATCAATGGGTAGCCTAGAAGGAGGATTTCAGTGGTATGTCCCTGGATTCAGTATCAGGGAGTGGTTTTTTATGTTGCCAGACATCTTTATTTTTTTTAATTTTTATTTTATTATTTTGCTGCCAGACATTGTTATTAACAATAACTAAGAGACTGGAAGAGAAATACAAGCACCCACAAAGCTCCTAAAGTGGTTAGTGTTTCCCCGAAAGTGTTCTCTGTAATACTATTCACGAAGAAGTTTCCCGGGGAAAAGATCCTGGTTGTGCAAACGAGCAACGCTACACTCCAGAGGTGGTTCCCACTGAAAAATCCTGCAGTAAAGAGACCCGCTGATTCAAAGGTGACAGAATCAGATGCGTGAGTTGGGAATATAAATGAGGAAGGTGGCAATGCAGAAAACAACTGAAGTTCAGCACTATGGAGATCTGGGTGGGCTTCAGAGCTAAAGGCATTGAAAACATGTTTCAAAACAGTCAGGTGAAATAGATCTACAGGGTAAGGCCCTGGGGGTGCCCAATCAAGAGCTTCCCTAGCCATTTGACTATAAAAAGCACCTTATTCATGAAGCGCCCATTAACATTCAGGTGTTTTTAAGAAATATTGTTTGGGGGATGCTTGGGTGGCTTAGTCAATGAGTGTCTGCCTTTGGCTCTGGTCATGATCCCAAGGTCCTCAGATCGAGCCCCGCATCAGGCTCCTTGCTCTGTGGGGAACCTGCTTCTTCCTCTACCTGTTCCCCTTGCTTATGCTTGCCTGTTCGCTCTTGCTCTCTCTCTCTCTCTCTCTCTGACAAATAAATAAATAAAACCTTAAAAAAGAAAGAAACATAGTTTGGGGAATGCTGCTCTACACTAACAGGATAAAATGAAAGGGAATAAACATAAAATCCTACACTTATATAAAAAAAAATACTAACAGTATAAACAGGAATAGCCCAAACACTAACAACATAAGTACTAGATAAACATCAGTATATAGAAAAAAAGATCTAGGGGTCTTAGGTGACCGTAAAATTAAAAATGGCAAGTGCCATTTTAGTCTGCATTAACATTGACATTGGTCTTGGCAATGATTTTTTTTTAATCTGACACCAAAAAAAAAAAAAAAAACAAAAGCAAAAATAAACCAGTGAGACTACATTAAACTAAAAAGCTTCTGCACAGCAAAGGAAGCCATCAACAAAATGAAAAGGCAGGATCCACTGAATGGGAGAAAATATCTGCAAATCGTGTATCTGATGAGGGGTTAATATCCAAAATATAAAAATAACTCCTACAACTCAACAGCAAAAAAACCAACCACATGACTTAAAATATGGGCAAAAGATCTGAATAGATGTTTCCCCTAGGAAGACAGAGAGATGGCCAACAGGTATTTGAAAAGATGCTAAACATCATTAACCATCAGGGAAATGCAAATCCCAACCACAATGAGAGATCACCTCACCCCTGTCAGAATGGCTATTATCAAAAAAAACCAAGTATGGGAGAAGATGTGGAGTAAAGGGAACCCTCGTGCACTGTTGATGGGAATGTAAACTGGTGTGACCACTATAAAAAAAAGTAATGGAAGTTCCTCAACAAATTAAAAATACAACTACCATACAATCCAGCAAGTCCGCCTCTGAGTATTTATCCAAAGAAAACAAAAATACTAACTCTAAAAGATATAAGCACCCACCGTGATCACTGTAGCATTATCTAGTGCTCGCTTTAGCAGCACATACACTGTAGCATTATCTACATAGCCAGGACATGGAAACAAAGTAAGTGTCCAAGTATCCATGACGGATGAATGAATAAAGAAACTGCGATGTATACACATACACAAATACACACACACTGGAATATTATTCGGCCATAAAAAAATAATGAAATCTTGCCCCTTGGGACAACACGGATGGACCCTGAGGACAATAGACGAAGTGAAAATAAGCCAGACAGAGAAGGACAGATACCCTATGATTTCACTTATGTGTGGAATCTAAAACAACAATAAGATACAGAAAACAGACAGGTAGTTGCCAGAGGCAGGAGGTAGGGAGAGGAAGAAATGGGTGAAGGGGGTTCAAAAGGTAAAAATAATAATAATAAAATGAATACATGTTACAACACGTATATACATAGAAAGGAAGGAAGAAGAAAGGGAGAGAGACAGGGAAGGGAAAGGAAGGAAGAGGAGAAAGCATGACTTGGCAGGAACAATTTGCAGAGACAGCATGTTTACCAAAAAAATAAAATTTAAAAATTAAAATGGCAAGTGTCATTTTAGACTGCATTAACAGCCTAATAGGTAACAGTATTATTGTATTCTGGGTTAGCTTGAGAACATCTGAAGTCAGTCACTGAATCAGATCATGAAAGATTAGGCAAATATTTCTATGAGGAGTTCCTGAAGGAAATGGAGATATTTACCTGTAAAAGTGTGAGACTTAGTGGGGAAAAGTTGTGAATTACACTTATTTTCTCAAATTCTCATGCTTCCATGTAGAGGGATCTCCAAGTTGGGATGTTTGGGGAAACTGGGCATGTATGAGCTGATATTTTTATCTCCTCCTGCCAGATTCTAGTGGTTCTCTCTCGTTTGGTTCCAAACTTGAAAGTGGGGAGAGAGGGTGTATTTACTCTCTCTCAATGCTCCAGCAGGAAGTAATAGCTCTCTCTACATACTTGAAGGCCTATCATGTGAAAAGTAATTGGATCCACCCTAGTTAGCTCTGGAAGGGATAAGTTGAACAGATGTGTATTACATGCAGGGAAGTAAATTTTAAGTCACTTGGAGGAAAAACCTTCTCATGAATTAGAGCTCCTTTAAAATGTCTTGGGTTGCTGGAGGGGAGAGAATATGGTGATGGAGTAGGAGGACCCAAGACTTCTGTCACCCCATGAACACAACTAGACAGCCATCAAATCATCCTAAATACCCCAGAAATCAACCTGAAGTCTGACGGAACAAACCCCACAACTGATGGAAGAAAAGAGGCCATGTGGAAGAAGGTAGGAAGTGTGGGGATATGGTTTAGGGGAGAAATGGGTGGCAGGTGCTATGGGGTGGGGGAGCCATGCAGAGGAGAGAGAGAAAGAGAAAGGGAGAAAGAGAGAAGCACACAGGGGAATGATGCACAAGAAGAACAAGACCCACTCAGTTTCCTGAGTTCTTGCAATGGGCAGCAGTGATTAAAGCCTGGAGTTGTTTTTTTTTTTTTAAGATTTTATTTATTTATTTGACAGACAGAGATCACAAGCAGGCAGAGAGGCAGGCAGAGAGAGAGAGGAGAAAGCAGGCTCCCCAAGGAGCAGAGAGCCTGATGCGGGGCTCGATCCCAGGACCCTGGGATCACGACCCGAGCCGAAGGCAGAGGCTTCAACCCACTGAGCCACCCAGGCACCCCTAAAGCCTGGAGTTTCAAAGGTCAGTAGGCTTGACTGGGATAGAGCCCAGAGGGCACTGCCCTGCTCCTGCCAAGAAGGCAGGCAAACTCCCACAGGGTGTGGAAACAGTGATTTGAAGACTGCCTGGGGCACACAGGGAGAAGATGACTCTCTTCTTGGTGAGAGGCAGCGTTCCCAGAGATGGCTCTCTGGGAACAAAGGAGCTGGCTGGGGCTCCATTTCCCTCCCCCACCCCTCAGCAGAAACACAGAGCCACCTGTGCGAAACAGCCGAGGGAGGACGCTGGCTGCCTAACTTGCTTACACCAAGCCCCACCCCACCCCACTCTGACAGGACTGCCCTTCTCGGTCAAGCTTGCCTCAGTCCCAGCCGGGTGGACCCCTTCCAAGAAGACCA